AGATTTTAATGCTTGAATGTAAAGGTAAGGAGTTTCTGAGAATATAACAGTTTCTGGAAATATGAAGTGTTTGAACAAAAGGATAAAGTAAAAGTGAGGTTTCTAAAGAGATAAATGTGTTTGAAAGCAAGTAAAACAAGGAAATAAAAAGAAATTGAAAGATTCAAGAGCAAAAGTACTGTAAAAGTGAAAGAAATATAAAAAGACTTGTATTGAAATTGTAAAGAATCATGATGTTCAATACGTACATTTTGTCTTCTAAACTCGTTTCCCTTGAATCACGGTAATTTGAGTGTTTGAGATTTTTTAGTACATGAAATGAACATCCTCACTCTAACATAAAAACACCTATTTATAGTGTCCTGACCCTAACGGTCCTACTCTAAAATCATGTCACGTTTGAAGCATGCAGGCTTCTTACGTTTACTGACTTCCACGCGTCTTCTAAGAATGGCGCTCTTATTTGAAATTCGAAACCTGTGCCAATCGAAGCATTTTACTAATTTTATTCGTTTCGAAATAAACCAATTGCCTGGACCGTTTCCAATTCTGGCATCCTTGCATAAAGGAACTCTTTATATTTTAAACACTAAAAAATCCAAATCGAAATCTATCATCTATCATTGGAAATCGAAGAGTCCTTTAGAACAATGGTTCTATATTTCCCACCAATATTCAACTTTGATATCAACCTCCTTGGGTGCTTATTCGAAATATTGTTTTGATAGTGGTTTCTTCTTTATTCGAAATAGCCAGCTAACACCCGCGAGGAATAGATGAGTTCCACGAGCAAACTCATGGATTTCACAGGTGTTTCACCCACATGGGACATATGATCCATCAAAGCCAATGAATCTCGCGAGCAAAGGTATGAATGTCCCTAGGTAAAACCCCCCAGATAGTGAATTCACCCTAAAATTCCATGAGTTCCATAGGGAGGCCCCTTCGAAATTTCCATAAAGTACAAAAATCATATATAGACAAGATTAATCATAGAGAAACACTTACTTAATTAAAGTTGGTGTAGATTTTGCGATGAAAGGTGTGACGATGCTAACGGCTGAGAGGAAAACTGATGGCAATAAGGAGAGAGGAGGAAACAAGAACTTAAAAATATTATAAATGAGCCTTTGAGCACTATTCATAAGACTTGCACAGAAGATGAAGCATCGCGTCAAATAACTGTCAACTATTCATTTCTCCGCTGCCCACACGTTCAAACTCATAATGACCCCTACTCCATAGGCCATCATTTCACCCTAAAGGTTATGCCACGTGGCCTGCAAAGTAAAGGTCTACAATATTTTCATCTCCCTGTGAGTCGAGGAGCACAAAGACTCCCCCTGCAAACACGCTCCAACTTCCATCCAAATAGCAACCATGCAATGACGACCACATTCTTTGACGAAATAGGGGACCCCGGTAAGCTTTGCTCTTCGATGAAATAGGGGACCCCGGTGAGCTTCGCTCATTGCACAAGCGAGTTGGTCTTAAGTCATAGCTCCTCCCCCTAGGAGCAACGACTTGGGGGGCTCATGTTCTGGACTGGGCCCGTACTTAGCCAAAACATCATACAATACCCAATCCAACTATGCTGCAGGAGAAGACCAGTAGGAGTGAATCTACCCTTAACCATGTCTGGCAGTGATTCCACTCCTCGTGTAGAGGATATGTCCTCTGAGGACATCCTCACCACATGATTGTCGAGGAGGATCAGCATCACTCAGGAGGTCCTCACGAGCACCCTCCTTGTAGGGCAGGCACCCAACGTACCAAAATATCAAGAAGTCCTCTTGACCCTGAAAAAATCGCATCTACGTCTCCCTGATAGTTCAGAGCAATTCATTTAGGATGGAGACCACGTGTTGGTCTCCACTACACACGTAGGTCCTGACAGTCTGCATTTTGGGTCTGCTTAACCAGCCCAACATGGGGACCTTGGTCCATCATTGGGGGCTATAAATACCCTCTCCCTTAAAAAGGTCGGGTATTCATTCATTCACTCTTACTATAGTACTTGCACTCTGATTGTTCTCATTTTTACTTTGGCATTGGAGTACCTTGCAGGTACACCCCCCCCCCCCCCCACTTCACTCTCATTAACTATCGTAAAATTCGAGCTCATGGACCAGTGACGATTCATTTTTATCGGGTATGATCAGTAGCTCTGGCGCTATTTCAAAAGGCCATGACTAGAATTTTTGAGCTCATTCTCAATAGTATCCTCATATATATTAATGATGCGTTATTATTCTCAAAAGAAGAAAAGGCTCATAAACATTTATTGGGTCAATTCCTTCAAATATCTCAAAAGCATGGAATGATGCTCTCTGAAAAGAAAGTCCAATTAGGCCAAACAAAAATTGATTTTCTAGGAATGCACTTCACCCAAGGAAAATACAGACCTCAGCCCCATATTGCTCAAGAATTGTTAAACTTTTATGATGAAAATCTCACAGTTAAGTAAATTCAACAATTTCTTGGTATGATTAATTATATCAGAGATTTCCTGCCAAAACTGGCGAGATACATGAGTCTTATATCCCAAATGCTTAAGAAAAAACCCTCACCATGGGAAACAAAGAAAACTGAAGCAGTAAGAGCTTTGAAGAAGATCGCACAAACTCCATTTTCCTTAAAAATCCCAAGGGATGATAAAAGAATATTACAAACTGATGCCAATGATCATTATTAGAGAGTCGTCTTAATAGAAGAAATTGATGGGATAAAATATTATTGCAGTCATGTTATGGTCAATTCAAAGAAGCTGAAAAACATTATTATACCACTTATAAGGAAGCTCTTGCAGTTAAGATGGGTATCCAAAAGTTTGACTATCACCTGACAGGCCATCCGTTTGAAGTCCACATGAATATTTCCTCTTTTCCCAAGATCCTTGAATTTAAAAATAAAATGCCTCCAGATCATCAAACTCTTATGCTTAAAAATTGGTTATCCATATATGATTTTACTATAAAACTTATCAAAGGAACTCAAAATGTGATCCCCAATTTGCTTTCTAGGTCTATGAATCTCATCCTGATCATTACTACGAATCACATTTTCCTCTGATTTTTATGGTCAAACCCCTAGCAGCACATGCATCTACGACTAAGAATCTTCCTTCTGGGGTAGATTTATCCTCCTCACCATCCAAACTCAAAGGACATGCTAGAAATAATATTTTTATTTCATGACTAGGATTATAAGAAGGAAACTTCCAGATCACACCCCTTACTTTCCAGACACACCATTTCTTCTACCATTCATAATAAACTCAAATTTTAAATTTACAAAAAACCATTTATGGTATCTTTGGTGTGCGACCAATTTATATGTTATGTATATTCTTGTCCCAATTAAAGTCGTACATAACCATATAATAGATCTGAAGAACCACATGTCTTTAATATGGACTGCTCTTGAATGATATTTTCTATTGGAATGGTGGAGAAAACAATTAAAATAAGTTCTACACGATGTTAAGAAAAGAAGATTAGCCTTAAAAGTTATTGGCAAACTCAAGACAATTTTCTTCCTACATCGGCCATATCACAGATCCTATAACTAAGTTTCTCATCTGTAAGAATTATGCTAATCTGTAGGAAACTATTCATGATTATCCTTCAAATTTAAAAGTTACAAGAGTATTAATGGATCATGTCAATTTCATTAATCTTTGTGATTATAAAGGAATCAAAGTTGATATTACCTGCATAAGTCACAAAAAAATTAGGATACGAGAAATTGGAGAAAGTTCGGGTCAGGCTTCACATCAGAGACAATTCTCCAATGAAATATGAGCCATCAAAAAGTCATGTGGAAGAAACCCTAAGGAAAATGGAGGATGACACGTGGCGGTATGAGTCACCTCCTTATCCAATCAAAAGTTCGGGTTACTTTTCAGAAGAATACTTATCCAATCAAAATATGTCTCCAAGTTACGAACCAATCTTTAAAGACTAATTAGAGAGGTATCTCTTATGTGTCACGAGCATGTTTATGAATAGTGGTGTTTTATCTTTTTATGTAATAATCTACAATAATGTATCTATAAGTGATAAGTGTGTCAGAATTTTGAAAAAAGACATTTCAATAATACTTAAGATGTCATACTTATAAAAAATATCGTTTTTGTCTTTTGTGAATTCCATTAACTATAAAAGGAGACTTCTTCATTCCTTTAGTTTTGTACATCACCAAGTGTAGATCATACTTGTATTTATGTGGGGGAATTATAATATGAATATAATAATTAAAGTTTTTTGGGAAAAAGGAGGACTGTTGTGAAGAGAAGACAAAGAACGACTTGATTTGAATTATTTTATAACTTAGGTTCATCTTCTACTTTTAAAAAACATTTAATAATTTTTTAAAATGTTACTATAAAAATAACAATTTTTTTTTAAACTTATCAAATAACTGATATATCTAACATGTATATAAATTTTGATTGTGAAAGCCAATTGCTATTTCATTTTTTTAAAACTAACTTCAATTTCAGCACAACAATCTATAATATAAGAAAACTCATTCTAGCGTAAAAGTCTATTTTATCCTTTTCAATAATGGTTAATATTTTTTAATTTTAACTTTTACTTTTTACTCTCTACACTATTTCCAATACATTAATAGAAATAATTTTATAAAAATATAATATTTTATAATAACATCATTGCATTTCTTAATTTATGTGCAAAAATCTGTCATTTTGAAATGGAAACTCAAAACAAACACAAATAATTGTTAAGTAAAAATTGACTACCTCGCGATTGGTCTACCGTGTAAACATTCAAAAGAGACCAACTTGATCATAAACAGGAATGTGTTTTGCTTGAACCACGATGAAAATACAAGAGAACAACCACATAAAACATTTAAATCCATAATAAAATCCATAATATAATAATTGAAACAATAACTAACAACATAACAGTGATGTCTGATGTTTCCACTTTGGCTTTATTAACAATCTTAACAACTTTAATTCATTTCTGCTCCTATATGACTAAACTTGCATCATAAGCGTCAAAAGCAGCATTACCCTCACCATTACGCTCACCCTTTCCATCGTCAAAATGATCCTCCCGAACATTGTCAGCTAACATGAGGGCAACCAACCAAAAGAGGCACGAATCAAGGGATAAAAAGGCACCACCACCAATGAGACCAGTTTTCGCTGTAGGGCAAGCATAGGCAGCATCAAAATGCACTTTGCGTGATCGGTGAATCTGCTCCTGTATTACAGGCCATAACAGCATAGTTGCAGCCAGTCCAGATGTAAACCTAAGTAAAAACACCGATATCCCGTAAGTCCAGATTAAACAGTCCCAATTTGTATGATTGTGTGAACGACTCGTATTTTAGACTCGAAAAGTCAAATCTAAAAAAATATTCAAAATTTGCATAAAATCAGACAGACTGAATAGTTTGACTTTGGATCTCTCAAATCTATATCAATGATCATCAAATAAGCACTTCTTTGACTTTGGATCTCTCTGCTCTAGAGAATTGAATTCAAATTAGTACTTATTTGACTTTGGATCTCTCAATTGTATGGAATTAAAATATATATACTATGATCATCAATTACTTATTTTACAGTGCCAACAAAGGACATATGCATATGCAAGACCGTCTTTGAAGGCGTGCAATAGAACCTCAGATATATATGCTAATGATCATCAAACTATGAAGTACAGACACGGGACATGTCGACGCTTGGTGATAATTTGAAGTAAACACCTAGTGGACACGTGTAGGACACCAGACACACTCGCTTTTGTTCAGAGATGTGAGTGCGAAAAATTGAATGATAATAATTGATAAAGATTAAGGAGAGATGACTTACAAAGCAACATTGAAGAAAACAGAGAAAGTAGTGTGTTTAAAGAGAACCCCTTGTGGAACAGATTTTCCTTTGTAAGGGTAAAACAGAGAAAGATATCCAACCACGGTTGACGCAATGAGAAACACGATAGAAAGATAACCCAACGCAATGGTCGGATCAGACGGAAACTTGCAACTCACACCATCCTTCACAGCTACCGGTGTACCAGAAGCAGGCTACAACAAAACAAACGAAAAAATTCAGAATTCCATAAACAGAATATTCAATTTCTAGGGTTCGGTTGAATTGATTCAAAAGAGTACCTTCTTGTTTTCGGCTATAACTCCAAGTATGAAGGAGATGACACCAAATAACGAAACAAAAAGAGCCATTTGTTTCATAGTAACAGCCATGGCGAATCACTGCGATAGAGAACGAAAACAAACAATTAAGCGAAGAATTAGTTAATTAATTAAAAGAGTAATTAACAAGAAAAAAAAAATCAAATGATGACCTTAGAGCAGAGGAAGAGGAGGAGAATTGACGAAAGGGGTTTGTGACTTTTTGCGTTATCTTGATTCGTCAATATTCGGAATCACCGGTACGTTTTGAACGGTGGAATCTATACAGTGACAACTCAGCTTATGGAAATTTTTCTTTAAATACAGAAATATTGAGAGAACAAGAAACGTATTAAATTATATGCATGTGGACGGCTTAACGTCTTAAATACGGGATTTTGATTATAAATTGAGAAATTTAGAATTTTCTATATATATGGAAAGTATCTCTATTAATAAACTATTGACTTAAATACAATTTTGATTTCTATGTTTGAGAAAGGCTTAAAAAAAATTTTAAAGTTTGTTTATATTAGTTAATTTCCTAACAATTAACTAAAAATCTTTAATTGAAAATGATTAATTAATTCTTTACAAAATAAATATCCTACTCATCAATCCAAGTCATTAAAAATAATTTTTTTTATATCAGTTATCATTGTCATATATACAAAAGTGGATGGGGACCAACAATATCTTAAAAGAAGTATAATTGAGAGACCAGTTTTTTAATAGGTGCACCAATAATTTAAAATTCTCAAACTAGAGGCACAAAAAGTGTATTTAAGTTTAAATTGTTTTAGTGCTATATTTTAGTTATTTTCTGTTTTTTTTATTCCAAAAGTAAAATTAATTTCTGTTTATAAATTTTAAAATTTTAAACATATTAGATTAATGTTAATTTTTTGAATGCTTCTATATCAAATCGATCGGGGTTTATTTATCAAGAGTCTCTTCTATCATTTTATATTTAATAAAAATATCATACTCAAATTTTTTAAAAGGTTTTTTATTATTATTATAAAATTAATTTTTTTTTAAAATTTATTAAATAATTAATATATTTGGTCTATATATTAGTTGGAGTTCGTTGATTATTATTAAATTAACTTAAATATTATAATAACTTTTTTATAACTTATAGTAAAGACTAGGATGAGTTTTTATTCAAATATATACTGACTTAGTCTCTACAAATCATATCAGATTTAATATGGAAAAGGTTCATAGGATGTAACATGTGCTCATGAGATTCATCAAGGGTTGGGGGATGGCATATTCATCTGAAGTAGGGTGATTAGTTATCTAATTCTCGTAATAAGCGCTCATTTATTATAATGCACACATATTTATGACATTTCCCACAATCACATAACACGTGAATTAATGTGTCCTAAAGCGCTAACATCATGGAGCTCAGTCAAATATCGCATCCTCTTTTAAAATAGGGGAAATGGTTATTCCACACTCGTGAAAGCATACTAAAATGTCTATAGATATTAGGATTCAAGCCCAACCAGTCTATATAACAATTATTGAGTTAAGAGACATTCAATTTACTCAAGAATCGCATATTTACAAATTTTCTCACCTTTCATGTGTGAGCTAGATTTAACACCACAATGATCCTAAAACTCTCAAACAACCATACACAAGTAGGAATTACCACTCATTGTAATTTTATTAAGTACAATCGACGTCCATCGTGGAGTCCTAGTAAAACCGACCTAGGCCACCATCACATTAGATGACTAGATTGATATCCACATCTCCAACCACTTTATCCAAGGTGAATAAGAAGGTAACAGCTCCACCCAATCATGATTTCAGTGGTGATGAGGATGTTATAGCGAAAATGTGTGTCGCCATGAATGACTTACTCACCAGAATTAGACCTTATAAGACAACGTCCTTCACATCCAACAGCGCCAGCAGGAGGATGACCCTCTTGAGGAGATTGAAATTTTTTACCCTTAACCTCTCTCTGATGAAATATGGGGGACATCGATGCTAGAGAACTTCTAGCCACCATCATTGGCCAAGTTTGATGGATGTAGTAACCCCTAAGAACATGTCGCCTCCATCAACACACAAATGCAAATTATGGGAGCCTTCAATTCTCTAAAATGAAATCTTCTCTCTGGCACCTTCAGGGATGTAACACCTTATTTTTTGACATTTTATTTTAATAGAGTTTTTGGAGTGTTTTTAAGTTAATTATTCAAGTTGGGGAATTTTGGATAGAGTTATATGATATTAAAACTTAGTGTTGAAGTGAAAAATTATGGTATATTAGAATTAATTATACTTTTATTAATTTAATATTTATAATTGCATTTAGAGTGATTAATTTAATTGAGATTAATTGATATGCACTGTCAGCATACAAAGTTTTACACACTCAGTGTATCACAACCATTTATGAGTAATTAGGGATGTCAATGGGGCGGGGCGGGGCCGGGGGGACACTTCCCCATCTTTTTCCCCGCCATCAAATTCATTCCCCATCTCCGTCCCCGATCTCCGTCACGGGGGAATTTCTATCCCCATCCTCGTTCCCCGCGGATCCCCGTTCCCCGCGGGGATCCCCATAGATCCTACATTTATTCATTAATATTTTATTTTTTTAAAATGTTTATATTTTCTATAAAAATAAAAAGCACAAAGAATTCACATATTTATTATGTTATTAAAAAATACTAGTATTTGACATTTATTATTTTTTATTAAAAATACTAATGGAACACAAAATAATAATATTTTTTTTATAAATTTCTATAAAATGCTATAAAATTCAACAAAATGAACTATAATACTTTTTAAAGTAACAATATGCCTAAACAACTAAAAAAATCCAACAACATAATTATGCTTAAAAAACTATACTTCATCAAAACTAATAAGGGATAATTATAAAATTTAGCATCATGAGTATGCTTGAAAAGCTAAAAAATACTTCATAATAAGTCAACTAAAAGCAAAAGTCAACATATCTCTATTTGCTCAATTGATAACACACGTAAAGTAGAAATATCAAAATACTTAAAACAAAGTTACATATAAATAAACTAAAATATTAAGCAAAATATCCAAACAAGTAATGATCAATCATGTCTCTCTTTCCAACTTCTCCTTGCAAGGTCTTCTTCCTCATTCCACAATTAGGAAAAGTATATTTTAATATTTTTTAAGGAAAAACTGACGACATTATTTTAATTACAAATGCATAGTATAGATAAAAAATGAACACAAAAATATTTAAAAGGAGATAAAAATGAGTAATTTTTTGATTATTTTATATTTTTGTAATATGCAAATGATTTGATAACTCTAAAATTTCTAAACAATTTAATTTAAATTTAATCAAAATAATCAACTTTTCCTATAAGCAATTACATGAACAGGTTTATGAGAATCAAGGAGAAACAATCTACTTTTTTCTATAAACAATAATATAAACAGATTTATGAGAATCAAAGAGAAATAATCTATTTTTTCCTATAAATAATTACATGAACAAATTTATGAAAATCAAACCTTATTGATGAAATTGTAAGAGCTGTGAATAATGGAAGCACACCAAATAGAGAAGATGGAATTGGAAGAGGAAGATGAATGGAGATTTGACTGGAGAAGAAAAAAAGGAGTCTAACGTGTGAGACTCTAAATGTCTGGCAGAAGAAAATGAAACGCTTCAACTTTTTTAGGGTCTAATATTTACATTTCTCTCTCTTAATAAATACATGAATATTTATTTATTTATTTTTATAAATAAACATAAAGGAAATGACTAAAAAACCTAATCTAAAATATATATATTAAATTAACTATATTAAAATAATAGGCGGGGCGGGGTCCCCGCGGGGCGGGGGGTGTATTCCCCGTCCCCGTCCCCGAAATGCTCTCGGGAGAATTTTTCTCCCCATCCCCGCCCCCACGGGGGAAAATTCCTCATCTTTGGGGCCCCGAACGGGGTGTTCCCCGCGGGGATCCCCATTAACAGGTCCAAACTGACATCCCTATGAGTAATACTTTACATGTGATTAAAGTAAAAGTCAAACACTAATAAAAATCAAACAATTATAAATAATTGATGGTGTAAAATTTTTTTACACAATCGGTGTATTTCAATTAAATTCAATTTAATTTAATTAGAATTTTTGAGATTATTAATTTTATTTAAAATTATTAATTTTTTTAGTTAATTAAAAATAATAGAAATATGAGATATGAGTTTTGGGTGATAAATAGATATTTTAAATAAAATAGGGAGGTAGATAGAATTATTTGTGAATGGAGGGAAAATAGTGAGAATTAATAAACTAAATGAGAAATTAGGTGTATTTAAATAGAGAAGTTGAGAGAGAATTAGTCAGGACATGAAAAGTTGAGAAACAGACAAAAGAAGAGAAACCTTAGAGCATGATTATCGGTGTTCTTTGAGAGTTCCTACACATTTATTAAAGAAATTGTGTCAATAATAAATGGATATTTCACTTGTTTTCACGTTCCTGAACTAAAGCACGTCCTCATACTAAAGCACGCTTCTACACTCCAATTAAGTGGGTCATGATAATAAATTAATAAATAAAATTGCAAGAATGTAGTTGATTTGTTTTAAATGTGGGACCCATTTTAGATTTTTTGATGAGTTACATGGATATTTGAGAATTGTAGATGGGTTGTTTAAAAAATTGAGAAGTGTGAAATAATATAAAAAATTATGTGGGTCTCATTTAAAGAACCCAAATGGGTATGATGGATGTGGATGCTCTTAGAAGAGCTTTTGGAAAGAGATGAGAGAAACCTCCATCGTTAAAGCTTCTTCTTCGAATTTGAGGTAGGGATAATTATTTCTGTATGGGTGTTTATGCAGATGGATAGTGAGGGTTCCTTACCCTCTTGCCTTCTTCCCTTTTATTTTCAACGACATAAGTGCGACAAAAATCAACAAACAATCAAGTATAATCGAAAAAAGGAAAATTCCAAAGAGGTTTTTCCTTTCCTCAACAAATGTTGCACCAACAGTATCGCGACAACAAGATTTCATTGGCAAAATATGAAAGTAGGCC